CTCAAGCCAAAGTGAATTGCATTTTAGCAACTTAGCAAGATGATTGATTAAAGCTAGAAGTTAGAATTTTGTCCTGGTTTTTAAATGACGTTTTCAAACAGCGATAGTAACAATAAAAGATCACAGCTACAGATATTATTCGTTCGATTATAATTGACTCTGAATGCCCGTGTAGAGGAAATAACTTGCAAATACATACCGAGCACACCCATTTGAGATGAATTTCCCCAGAGTCCTGGTCGATATTATTTTAATTGAACCGAAAGCTCATTTTGAGTAAGCTTTTGTCAGACTACCTTACTTGACAGTCCTTTGCCATAAAATTAACAGACTGTTCTCAAGAAAGAGATATGATCATCCATGAGCTCAAACGAAAAACCAAAGAACCTTTAGGGACACTAAGAAAATCGTGGATAGCTGGGAGAAATCATGACGCCGTGTTTCATAACGTTTTGGTAATGACAAAAGTGTCTACCTTATTCTGCGACAGCCGAGCCATGAAGGGAACCGTTACAGTGCAAACCAACTGTAAGGGAAAAAATGAGATGTACTCGACGAGTTCCACGGATGTCTCTCTCGCTGTTTGACTAAAATTTCATCGAAAACCAACTAAACTAGCAGTTTAAGTAAGGTTTCAACACTGGTTTAGGTACTAATAGCCTCCATAGTAGTCCGTGTTTGTTGCTAACAAATGACGCTTGTCTTTGCGAGAGAAAACATTTAATTGGTACATATTCTTCAACATGAGCATGTGTATGAGTTAAGTTTAAACTTAAGCACACGTCTTCTGCCTTCGTATGATTCATTTGGCATGGCTTGTTTTCCTTTTAGCGAAAATCTATCAGAAAGGTCTCTAATCTGGTGAAGGGATTTCCCTAAACCTGTCTTACAGAAGACTGGTCCTATAGAGGAAGAGTTCTTTAACAGAACCTCTCTTTGATCTCAAATAGAGGAAGCCCCCGAATCTAAAAAGATATCAATTTTTGTGCTTCTGATACAAAAAAGAACTAACTGAAATTTCAAGGTAGCAATGGCACTGCAAAATCATCTTTTGTTGCTGCTTTGTTTTTATAACAGATCTGTAGGGTCTTTATATTCAATTTTATTTTTCTTGAAATATTTCATAGCTTACTTAAGCGCCGAAGCAAAAACAAAAAAACAAACAAACGAACAAACAAATAAACAACAACAACAACAAGATAGACATAATATGGTTTTATGAATTAAGATGGTAATGTAAATTGGCCACTGTAAGGAGATTCTAAAGCTGACGTTTCTCGCTCTTTGTCAAAGCGAATCAACAAAACAAGCAAACAAACTAATTCCTTGTCGTCTCGGTTCATTAAAAGGCAAAAAAAAAGGAAAAAAAAAAGGAAAAAAAGAACTCGGCCAGTATCGAGCCGACTTCACCTCACGCTAAGTCAACAACGCATATCTCTACTTGTTTCGATATCTCTATAATTGACAAGATACCTGCGTGCGATGTCACCAAACTGTCATTAATATGTTTTCGAGACTGGTCAACACCGAGAATTACTCATTTTACTTGAGACTTAGGCCAGTTCATCTCTT